CCACCAGGATGGAGGAAATGATGGACGTGGATGCAAATACAAGGATTTCATGGCATCCAAACCACCGAGTCTATTTGGAAGCCCGACGCCGGTGGAAGTCATGAACTGGATCTCCGAGATGGAGACGATGTTTGAGAGTTGCGAGTGTAGCAACAGGCAGAAGACCGCTCTCACGGTTCCTTTGTTGAAATCTGGAGTACTAAGCTGGTGGAAGCTACTAGCCGATTCGATGCCCAAAGGAGAAGCGAGCAAGATGTCATGGGAGGATTTTCTGGTGCAGTTAAAAATGCAGTACTGCTCTGAGCAGGATCTTCTGGAGATCAACAACGAGTTTCAGAATCTAAAGAAGGGAAATATGAGTATCATCGAGTATGTTGCAAGTTTAAAGAGAAAATGAAGCTTGTTCCTTATCTAGTTCCAACTGAGCTCTCCAAGGTCAATAAGTTTGCCCATGGATTACCAGCAGACTTTGAACCAATGGTCAAGCAAGCAACCACTTTGAAAGGAGCCATCTGGACAGCTAGGAATGTTGAGACCCAGATTAGGGAAAAAGGTCTGGAGAGAGCTGAAGTTGGCGAGAAAAGGAAACATGAAGGATCATCAAAATCCAACAAGGAAAAGAAATTCTCAAAGATTGAAGAAGGAGGAGGAGGTGAAACCAAGTGGTGCGAGAAGTGTAAAAAGAAGCACTTCGGGAGATGTAGCGAGGAGGTGACTTGCTACAAATGTGGAAAGACAGGGCATTACGCCAGCAAGTGTGCATCCAACAAGAAGGTGTGTTATGGGTGTAACAAGGAAGGGCATATTTCCAGGGACTGCTCGGGGAAAAATAAAGCAGCAAGACCAGAAACGCCACCGAGGCCAAGGGCATTCCACATGATCCTCAACGAAGCAGAAAACCGTGCAAGGAATCAATGATGAGGACTTCATATCCGAAGATCAAGTTATGCAGTAGCCATAGTGTCGTATGATGTAGCCTATTAGAGGCATAGTCTAGGGTGAACTTGAACACCTATGTAATAGTTTCAAGAAATAATAAAACCTTCGTTAGCTGATTTGTTAAAATGTTATGTGATTTTCTTGTATGATGACTTGGGAAACTGCGGGACAATACTTGGGACGAGTATGAGTAGGTGTGAATGGTAGTAGAGGCCTATACTACCGGAAGCACAAGACTCACACTTGGATCAGGGAAAGTCACAAGGTTACCAAGAAGCCAGTAATTGATTTCGTTTTATTCAAGTATGTCGTTACCATTGTTTCGGTAATGACTAAGAAGATTGTTGTTATCCCGACCCTAGTGGTCATGTCACATTGAGTCCGACTACGATGAGTAGGTTACGTGGTTTAGAGAACCAAGTTTGATGTAGCGTCCAAATTTAACCAAACAACTGAAATCAAAGCGACCAATAGAAGTATCGGCTCGACGCTAAAGAAGTTGGTAGCTAGAAATGCTACATGTTAAAGTGTGATTATATCACATTAGAACGTGAAGGAAGGCATAGTTTATTTCAGAATTTAACTCTAAAAGACCTAAGTCTAAACGAGCGTCACATGATGATACGTCGTAATCTGGAGTCTAACCTGAAGAAGATAGCAGGTGCACAATTAAGTACTGCTAACAGACAATAAATCTAAAAGATAGACTCGAAGGAATAAAGAAGTTATAATTATTACCTAGGATGAAGAGATGACGTATGGAGTCATTATACGAGCCCTGTTTCGTTGATGATTCCGGGACGTAATCATCCTAAGGGGGAGATAATTGTAACGCCCGCAGATCCGGACTAGTCAATTTAGAGGAAATAGGGGTCGAAAATGACTTTTCGACAAAAGATTATTTAATAAATAATCTTTAACCAAGTTGTAGAATATGTCACAAGGTTTCCGTACATATAAAGAACGCCGAAATCCGAGTTATAACGAAGAAGTTATGGACCGTCGAAGTTTTACGGCAAAGTCAGCATGACACCGGGAAGCGTAAATAGTGAATTTACGATAGAGCGAGATTTATCCTTAGCAATCTAAACGAAAGTCATAGAATATGTTAAACTAAGAGCGTCGATAAAAAGAACGCCCAAATCTGACTTCGTATGAGGAAGTTATGATTTTTCTAAGATTCGGCTTAGCAGTGCACGACCCGAAACTCGAATTTTAGTTCGACCGGTTTTTGGCTTACGCGACCTAAATGAGAGTTGAAGATCTCATTAATAGGAACTCAACGGTAAAAAGACAGACGAAAACGGAGTCCGTATGAAGGAGTTATGAATTCTTCGCGGTCATTTAACAGTCTAAACACCTCCTACTGTTAAATTTGAGATCGGTCGAGAATTAGCTGACGGAGTCTAAATGAAAGTTGTAGATCTTGATTTTACCTACGCGTTGAAAAAAATAACGTCGAAAACGGAGCTCGTAAGCGAAAGTTATGATTTTTCTAAGTTTGAAGGCTGATACGCGATAGGGGGTGACGTGGCACCACCAGAATTGGACACGTGGCACCACCAGAAGGCCACCACATGGACCAACTCGGCGAGTAGGTCCCCCTACTAGGCGAGTCCATCAGATTTTTGCACTATAAATAGAGGTGTCGGGTCTAGCCTTCTCTTCACACCTCCCAAACCTTCTTTCTCTCTCTAAACTCTCTCTCTCTAAGCCTCCCTAACCCTCTAAAGCCTAGGGTAACTCCCTAGCACGAGGCGGAAGCCCCGGAGCGCCTGACGGCTCCGAGAAAAGAGCCTTTCGGCTCGGGAAACGCTGCTCCAGCGAAGCCCGGTTTTGCGAAAAACCCGCTGTAAGTGAGCTACGCTTACGCTAGTTTTAATATAGCTTCTAATTAATTATAGTAACATTATTAGGACCTTAAAATAATTGTTTGGGCTATTATTATGAGTTATATTGAGTGTCATTTAATGATTATATAATAATAATAATAGATATACTATAAATTAGTCGCGGTTATCGTTAAACTAAACCCTAGTGGTGTTGATACTAGGTTTTATCGAAGGAAATTGTTTTGAGAGTATCGAAGCGTTGTCCGAGTGTTGAGTCACCACCTATCAGGTGAGTGCATAGTTACTTTCATCTTACACATAGATATGAAGTCTTTTATATAAATTACGTGCTATGTGTGCATATTATCTGAATACCTGTTGTCTATGCTGGATGAACGATTTTATACATGTTTTAAATGATTTAAACTGTATATGTATTTTTATATCTACGATAATGTTGGGGTAAACATGGGTAGATATAATAGATGGAATATGAGTTGAATGATGAGTTGAGAGGTGTTATAGACCACGTGGTGAGGGTGAGAGGTGGATAATGTGAGAAGCCTTTTTCCCAAATGATGGCCCCATCATTCAGCAGAGTATGGATGATAACCACAGACTATTCTAGACAGTCAGTGGAACACTAGCAGGCTCGTAGTCTGTAGGTGTTGTGAACAATGTGTTCACTCGGTGTACTCTAAACCTTGGTGATCATGCAGACTTGATACCTAAACCCTGGTGATTATGCAGACTTGATGCCTAAACCTTGGTGATCATGCAGACTTGATGCCTAAACCTTGGTGATCATGCAGACTTGATGCCTAAACCGTGGTGACTATGCAGACTTAGTGCCTGTTGTGTAAACTGTGGCTATTATGGACTTTGTGTCGATTCCTTAGGATAATCCTTAGGAATGAATGAATGAGAAATAGTTGATTCTTAGGGTAGATCCTTAAGAGTAAAGAAGATAATGGGTATGGGTAATTGGGTTTAATTGCTTGATTGTTTAAACATAATAATTATATTATTATGGGTTGAAAACCCTATGTACTCACCAGGTTTCCCAACCTGACCCACTCAGTTTATTTATATCACAGGTGTTGATACGAAGTCACTTTACACTTAGAGATTTAAAGAGATGTAGATCACTAGTGTAAATAAATGTAAGTTATGTTTATGCTTATGTTTCTGTATTAACGATGACATCCCAAACGTTTTGAAATGAATAAAATACGTTTATCCGAAAATGTTTTAATAACGTATTTATCATGTTTTTCTGGGAACAAATTCCGCAACATTTTTATTAAAAGAAGAACTCTGATTTTTATAAAGCATAAACAAAATCGGTCTTTTCTGGCCGTGAAAATGGGAATGTCACACTATGTGCCAACCATGGTCTTACTATTATGCCACGAGTCATATCATGGTCTTTCCTTGTGAAGCCGGGGACCAAAACCCTAGGTTTTATAGATAAGTGCCAGGAGCCACTTCATAGCCTTCCATGAAAGCATCACAAAGTCAACTAACATATAATCTACAACTACTTAGCTACTTAACTGCTAGAGTCCAAATTTCGGTCTTGCATACAGATCTGCCATGAGCCACCTCATGGTCTTTCATGCAAATGCCAAGGGCCGCCCCCTGGTCTTCCTATAATACATAAACCAAATGGGTCGGTATTAGTGCCTTCGACCTATAACATAGTTAGAAGACTCACCTCGACAACTGAACCCACAAATATATCTCCGACTGCAAATTCGCTAGAATCCACACACTAACAAACATGAAAACATTCAATTAACATTTGGGTTCGAAATCCAAAACCAACAATCCTTACATGGGGTAAAAAGACCATTTTACCCCTCACCTAGTTTCGTCCATAACTAAGGCCCAAACTACCAATTATAAAGGCCCACAAACCAATAACCATCCAAAACCCACTTATGGCCCAATTTTCCAAATTGGGCCTAAACCCTTACATGGGTCTTGCCCTAAAGCCCATTAGCTTTTCCCCAATCCAAACACTTGTTTAACGATGGCCCAATAAAGTCCCAAGCAATCCAAGCCCAAACAATAGCCCAAACCCTAAATAACACCATAAGGCCCAATAAGGCCTAAATATCTAAATCGAGCCCAAACCCATCATGGGCCTAACCCGAGAAGGCCTAAATCTAAAAGGCTCAAACTAACCAATGGTCAATCTTGGTCAAACTTGTGGTCAACACTCCAATGTCAACAAGTCAACAAAACAAGAAGAGTCTAACAGGCCGAGTACGCCCCGCGTACTCAGCTGGTGTGCCCGATGTACACCCTTTGGGGCTAGTACATGCAGCGTACTATGGGTATGCCTAACGTACTCCTCTGAACCCTAATCTTCTACATGAAGCACTTAATCACTTAAGTCCTTGCTTGAAACTCTCATATTTGATTCCTATGGATGACTTATCATGTAAAGTTGGCAACTTTACTTGCATTCATGGCTTATTGGGGATCTAGAACTCAAAAGAGCTTAATGAAGGGTCTTAACACATGTATGAGTCCAAATAAACCATAAAGATCACATTTTTATACCTTTGGGACACCTAAACCTCCAGATATACAATATCAAGCCTCCATAACAACCTTAGCTCACATAGACCAACCAAAAGAGGCTAAAATGACCATATTCAAACCCAAAAGAAGATCTAACCAAAAAGATGACAAGATTAAAGCTTTTTATCTTCAATAAATTGCAAAAGATGGAGAACTTTTGGATCTACAAGCTCCTTTCCAGGTGGTGATTCTTTAATAAGCTCCAAGCTCTTCAAAGTGCACAAAAGTACTCCAATATCCTTCACAATGGATTAAATGCTCCATGATAAAGGCCAAGGGTTGACTTTTAGGGTTTAGGAGGCTTAGAGGCTGATAAAAGACAAGGCTCATGAAGGAAATGAGGTTTAAATAGGGGCAAGGACCAAAAATTAGGGTTTCATGGCTAAAGGAGTACGCCCCGCATACCCCTTGGTATGCTCGATGTACTCAGAGATCACAAGCAACCATTATACTCGGTACGCCCCACGTACATATCTAGTACGCCCCACGTACTAGATGGCCTTCTAAAACGCTCAAACTTTATTCGACCATAAACTCCTTCGTCCTAAGCCCGTTTCCAACGAACTTTATATCCATGGAAAGGTGACGAGAAGCCCTACGCTTCTACCAACTCACCCCTCACCTTAAAACTTCTCAAACAAAAACCTAAAATTCATAAAGGCCCGCACTAATAAATTACAATTATACCCTTGGGATCCAAAAACGCCATCGAACACTCGGATCACTTAAACTATAGCACCCACATCTAAAAAGGGCCAAATCCTTTCTTCCCTAGGGACACAAGCCTTACGATAACTGATTATTGGGCCACAACCCTAAATAATTAAGCAATCTGAAACCGAGTGTTACACAACTCCTTCAACATAGGATGGGGTCACTCGAATGCTAACATCTGCAACCATCGACAAAAAGGGTTCTGAAACTAGGCTCATAAGCCAAGCTGGGCAGAGACTCCAAGGTTTGAATCACATCTATCGCAATACCCCTTGAACAATCGACTACCGCCCGACACTTCCGCCAGCATTATTTTAGTGAGAACTACGTGATATGACGAAAACAACTTCACACAACACCCTTAAACCACAATGAGCAGATAGAGCCATCCTATTCTCCACCCATGCTGACCCCCAAACTCATAGATCTGTTCTGACCAAGACCTCATGACATTGTGCCGCCTAATGAATAAATAAAGAAAGAATCTACAACCTACACTATAGTCGGCAACCTCGCACAGCGACTTACCAACGAAAACCCTGAACAAGCCCAACAAACTAAGATTACACTAGCCTATATATCAACTACATTGATCGACAATCTACAACTTTGATCAGTATAGGATCTTCTAGGCCATACGCCGTCCTACGAGAAAAGTTGAACACAGATGCCACGACAGACCGCCGTCATCGATCACCCCGCACAAAAATACATTATCGAAATTCTGACAAAACCATTCGATCGCATACTAAACTAGACCATGTTCCAACTGGACTTTAACAACCCTGCTCTGCTATCCAATAACAACACTCAAGTTACCCCCCAATTCAATAACTACTAACAACACTCAAGCTTACCCCCGATTCACTAACCAATAAAAACACTCGGGCTTATCCCCATTTCGCTAACCAATAACAACACTCATGCTTACCCCCGATTAGGTAATCAATAACATCACTCACAACCTAACATAGACACACAACGAACCTGCAAAAACTTAATTATTCCTATTAGGCCTTTGGTCCATGATTCGAACTTCCAGTTCCCAATCAAAAAAGAACAAACAAAGAAGCCCTTCTCACAACCTTCAACCTGGTCTCCTAGTACCTTAGGATCCTAAAGCACGAGGACGCCCTATAAGCTACTGATACAACCACAAATAAGCAAATTCAAAAGAAAATTTAACATCTGGTGATGATCCAAACACGTAAATCAGAAGATTAAGGCTATGTTTGGCGTACTAACTGAAAAATTAGCTATTAGTTGAAAAGCTAGCTGACAACTTAAAAACTAGCTGATAAATAAAAAGGTAGCTGATAGCTGAAAAACTAGCTGATAACATTGACATTTGATAAAACTAGCTGAAATTTATAAAAGAACATAAAACTACATTTAAAAGAATATGCTTCTATAATTAACTAATGATTATATTTGGAAATTAAAAAAAAAAACTTTTAAAAAACTAGTCTAAGTAGCTTTTTAAAAAACTGGTTTTTAAACTACCTTTTGATTTGCCAAACATGACAACTTAAAAAGTTCGAAAAATAAACTAGTTATGATACGCCAAATATAACCTAAACATATCTTAAAAAATGTTATTTTTTAATATATTAAAAATTTATTTTTTAACTTAATAGACAAAACATATTTTGAAAAAATCGAATTAAAAAGCCCGTGATTTGGTAATGTTTGGGCCTGACCGAGTTTCAATGAGAAGGCCCATATACAAGCCCAGTAAACCAAAATAGGTTTACAAGTGATATAAGCCGATCAACTAGGGTTTACCGGCAGAGTTGAAGGAGAGAGTGGCGCAGTAAGTGCAGAGGACCGCCGCAGTTTCGCCGTACAGCTATACCGGAGATTCCTATCTCCTACACCACACGCCGCAGCCATGGTGCAATTTCTTTCTTTCTTATTGAAAATTTATCCATTAGTAATTCATAGAACTTTGCGAGCTGCTCGCGATGTTCGATTTATTTGATATCAGTTTTTCTTCTACGTTTCTCGCCATTAAAGTTTTTGCAATGATCTTCAGGCTACATCACTCACGTTTTACTGGTTTTATCCATTGAACTGTTTACCCCGAAACACCTCAAATAACTCGTACATCTATTTATGATTTTGGAGGAATCAGTCGAATCCAGTGTCTGTAGTTTCGATCTCGTTTAAATCAGCTGTATAAATACACAAATGCACTTTCCAACATATATTGCCAGTTCACTTGTTTCATAAAGCCCGCATCAGTCGAAATGAGGCTATAATTTTCGCAATATGTTCGTGATTTTGTTTATTCATGTAGCAAATCGATATTCAGAGTCCTATTTTTCGATAGTATCATGTTTAATTTTTTTTTTTCTCTATTGAAGGCTCGAGGATTGAAGAAACACATGAAGAGGCTCAATGCCCCCAAGCATTGGATGCTTGATAAACTTGGTGGCGCTTTTGTATGTACACTCATGAACAGTTTCTATATCTGATTATTTTCTGTTTTCTTCTCTCTTCTTGATTCATAACATGTTATTTTAATCTTCTGCAACCCAGGCTCCTAAGCCATCATCAGGACCTCACAAATCAAGGGAATGTCTCCCCTTGATCCTCATTCTGAGGAACAGATTGAAATACGCTTTGACATACCGTGAGGTCCAATCCATTCTCATGCAACGCCATGTTCTTGTTGACAACAAGGTCAGAACTGACAAGACTTACCCTGCTGGTTTCATGGGTAAGTATATACACTCATTAAGTCACACAAAATGTCCAAATTACCCTCCTGTATTTCAACAACTCATCGATTTCACTCTTTGTTTTCTCATCAGATGTTGTCTCAATTCCCAAAACCAATGAAAACTTCCGTCTTCTATACGACACCAAGGGTAGATTCAGACTCCACTCAGTCAGAGATGAGGAAGCAAAGGTTAGATCCTAACTTCATATTAATATTAATATATAATAGCATAATATTATTATATTTAAATTTTATTTTTTTGTTGTAGTTCAAATTGTGCAAGGTTAGATCAGTTCAATTCGGGTCAAAAGGCATTCCATACATCAACACATATGATGGGAGAACAATTCGCTACCCGGACCCACTCATCAAAGCAAATGACACCATCAAGCTTGACTTGGACACCAACAAGATTGTGGATTTCATCAAATTTGATGTTGGGAATGTTGTGATGGTGACAGGTGGCAGGAACACAGGGCGAGTTGGAATATTGAAGAACAGGGAAAAACATAAGGGAAGTTTTGAGACTGTTCATATCCAGGACTCCACGGGTCATGAGTTTGCGACCCGTTTAGGAAATGTGTTTACTCTTGGAAAGGGAACAAAGCCGTGGGTGTCCCTGCCCAAGGGGAAGGGGATTAAGCTGACTATTATTGAGGAGGCTAGGAAGAGGCAGGCTGCCCAAGTTGCTTGATTTTTGTGTTGTTGATGGTTGGGTTTGTTGAGACTTATGTGGTAGTTGTTGGATTTTAGAGGTGGTTATGTTTTTGATTTTGGTACAATTTTGGATGTTTTGGGGTTTGCTTTTTGTTGGGTTAATTTGATTACAAAATGGAGACTGTTTTCTAATATGCTTTTTGAATCTTTTGATGCGTAAAACAAACCTTTTTTATGTCTCGAATTTGAACAGAAAAGTGTTGAGGCTGAAAAAAACTTGGGTTTAAAAAAGATTTTTTTAATAGTTTTATTGATCTTCATTGTCTTTTTAGGATGAAAAGGTTCATGAAAAAGCTCAAAAAAACATCTTATTGTGATTTGTTAATGCTTTAAAATCAAAACAATGGCGGTTCATGATTCACCTCTAGCCACTTCTCCAGGAATAGAAATGAAAGATTGTATAGTTAAATACACAAACATCACTTGTAACTTGGAATTGTTGTAGTGATGTGATGAACACAGATCCAAGGTTAGATTTTGATTGTTTTCGTTTAATTGCTTTTGTTGCTATGTTTTGTTTTATGGATTGAAATAAACGTTATGACCCAACACTAAAGATCCTCCTTTGATCATTGTATTTTGACTGAATAAGAGGATACATGCAAACAAGAGTTGGTGTGTGCCGGGTTGTCACGTAGTGGCCTCGATTAGGAAATTTATTGATGTTGAAAGGCCAGTAGTGGCATGGGGAGATTTGAGTTGGAATTAGATTGGTTCTCATAAACTCGATATAGTTTGCAGGATTTTTCTAGATCGACTACCGATTAGAGTTAAATTAAGGGATTATGTCACTATTGGGCAAGGTTTTAAATGGCGTGAGGCATGGCGGCAAGGCCAAACCTCAAGCTTAACGAGCCATGGTGTTTTTCAAGGCGTGATATAAGGTAGTGACTTTGTATTAATTTGAAAAATATATCCACATACATATAAATTTATATTAAATATAACTACTTTTTAGAAGTGTTAGATTAATAACTAATAACAAAAAGTTAATAAAAACTACAATACTTGTATCTCTGATTTGAAAAGATATAACAAAGAGCAAAAAACTGTGTCTCAAACGAAAAAACACGCGCCATGGCGCGCCATATCACGCCTTGCCACGCGCCACACCTAACAGCAACGTTATGAAGCTTTTCGTAACGGCGAAGCCACGCCTCACGCCATGGTGGCCTTGGCGCGTGCCATGACACGCCTTTTAGAACACTGCTATTGGGTAAGAAAGTATTTTGCATTGTTTTATTATGTCCTTTAACTATTTTTCTTATCTCATGAGGGAACAATGTAGGTTCTACCAGGTTTAAAAGACCACTTTGATGAATCCGAAGGAGTAAACCGGTTGCCTTTTTGCTATCTCATTTGACTTTCAAAAGTCCAAGTTTTCCACACACGTGTATAATTCCACATCACTTGGATTTCTTCCCAGACCAACAACTCCACTATTACCGTTGACGATGGTGTTTATATCACTAAAATTTGTCCTATGAACATTTTTTTTGAAATAAAGTTGGTGGAGCTCCATTGGAAATGTCAACGTCCTAAATCCATTTCCGACCTATTGAAACAAATGAGTAGTTAAAATTTGAGGATCGGAGCTCAAATTCGAAACACTCATCTTGGTTTGCATCCCCAAATCACAAAACCCCGATAGAAATGGATTCCATAACACCAAACCTATTTTCACAACCAACATCATGTTGGTGATTTTAGTGTCACATGGCGGTACATGACATTTCATGTAGGTGAGTTAAGGGGCTTATTGTGTGTACTCTATATTAAGACAGTGTTTGGCCCGCTACAGCTAGCTGAAAAGCTAGTTTATTTTTCGAGTTTTTTTAAGTTGTTATGTTTGGCAAACCAAAAAGTAGCTTATAAGCTAGCTTTTTAAAAAAATATTTAGACTAGCTTTTTAAAAAAATTTCAAATATACCACTTATTTAATTATAAAAACACATTCTTTTAATGTTTTTTATGTCATTTCATATTTTTCAGTTAGCTTTGTAGCTAGTTTTACCAAACGATATTTTTTATTAGCTAACTTTTCAGTTATCAGCTAGTTTTTTTATTTAAAAGCTAGCTTTTCAGCTAGTACGCCAAACATAACCTAAATGTTCGGTGAATACGGAGTGTATGCATATATAAGATCGGATTCTATTATGGTAAGATTGGCAAATTTTATTAGTTTTGGAAACCATTGATTAAGCCATCAACTTCAAGATTTCCCTAACTAATTTTGAAGATTAAAACCTAATCTGTCATGCATATATACAACTCCTCTTTTGAGCCGTAGATAGAACCTCCTTCCCAGCTCTTCGTCTTCTTGAACAAACTTAAAACTCTCTAACGATTTAGCTTGTGTTTATGTGCCTAGATACACAAGTGTCCTTTTGGATTATCCTAAACTAAATCTTCTGTAACTTAGACATAGGGTGTGTAAATATCAATTCGGAAAGTGAACTTACAAGATCCATAAGGAATCCGGCTCTCCACAATCACCCTACGTTCTAGTCTTTGACACATCAAATAATTCATCCAACATATTGTTCGAAATTAGGTTCCAAATTGAATAATTTAAGGGTTTCGGAGGTAAAAATAAATAAAACTAATCGAGGTCGAAGTTTTGAAAAGTAGACGTCAGTGACCAACACATAATAGTTGGTGATGTGGGTTTGGAGATGAAGGGATTCGAAGTTGGTCTTGACGTAATTGGCGACAATAGATGAGGGTGAGGTACCAACGAGTTGGGGGTGATAAAGGTGGTGTTTGGTTGCTACGGAGAGAGAGAGAGAGAGAGAGAGAGAGAGAGAGAGCACAAAAGGTAAGGATGAAGATGAAGGTGCATGAAGGGGAGGTTGAACAGGTAAAAATGATGGTTGATTTTGGAAGACTAGTTTAAAAAGATCGAGCCATCGCGCAGAGAAAGAGGCGGCAAGTAATGGTGGTGGAAACGACGGAGGATATAGAAATCGATTAAAGGATTTCAGAAGATGAAGCATGTGTACAATATCACAATGCATCCATAGGGTGCTGCAGAAAATATACATGTAGAATCTAAATTTTTGTCAGGGTGACAAATACTTCTTGTGGGGAGCCATTCTTCATTTTCATAAGACTTATAGCGTCCAAATCATCAACCGGTTAAAATATAGCAATACAAATTTATTATAGTGAGTAAAGGGACTAATTTAACATCCTAAGAGGTAAACATCTACTTTATTCCACTAGAGTAAAAAAAATAATAATCAAGTGAATTTTTTAAAATGAAAGAGAAAAATTTGTTGGCCTAAATTAATATTTCCCTTAAATTATATGAAAAAGATGTCGATTTGGACACTCTTGTGTGTCCTATTTGTGATTCTCATCTTGAATCAAATGAACATCTTTTTATTTTCTCTCATACTCCTCCATATGGAATAGTGTAGGTCTTACATGAGACTTCTAGTGGGTTATTTTGCGATTGGCTTTGTTGGTGGATCAATCGGGGTTTAGTGATGTTCAAAGAAACATTTTTGACTTCTAGTGGGTTATTTTTTTGATGGAGTTATTCAAAAATGTTTGGTGCCAACCTAAAAACTTAAATTCAAAGTTCATTCCAAACACAACTTTCATATTATTCCAAAACTTAGTTCCCCAAATTGCCTACAACATGCATTTTGAAAGCATATGTACAAACTCTACAATGCATCTAAAAACATCTCCAAACCCACTCTATTTCCTACATCATTTAATATTAATTACATTTTACTTTATAAAATATGAATTGGTTTATTTTAAATATAATAATAGTTCATTATAATATTATATTATTATATATTAAAATGATATTAATTAATGATAAATATAAAACTTAATACGAAGGTCAAGAATTTATTTAAAGATTTAAATACTTTTAAATTTGAAAACAGTAACATATTTTATGAAAACATAAAATTGACATATGTATCTTAAATAATTAAATTGGTTATCGATTTATAAAAAAATATTTGATCTTGTTTTTACATAAAAAAGATGTAAAAAACTAATAAGTCGAAATAGATATTTGACAATCTATATATGATAAAAAAAAAAAAAAAGAATGAAAATGTTATGAAAAAATTGCGTACAAAATTCTTAAAACCTTAATTAATAGTGCATAAAGTTTCTAACTTATATAAAAAAAACTGCCATAAGTACTACAACCACAAATATTAACTATAAAACCACACAAAACACCACAGAATTCTCAACAGAGTACAACTTATTATGCTTAAGGTACAATCAAACACCCTCCTCAAGAAGCATCTGATTGAAATGCCACACCCCTGCATATTCAAATAAATTAAATTTCATAACATTAATTAAAAGCCATAATTTCACATTCAAATACCAAATTAATACCTAAATAAGTATATATTAATATTACCATGGCCTTTTCCAACTCTTCTCAATTGAGACACATAGTCTGAAATCTTCTTTATTGCTTCAACCTATATATCACAAAACAATTCTAATTAACACAATTTTCAAATATAAATAAATAAACAAATAAACATGTATGAAAATCTTCACCTGTTCAGCTTGAAATTCACTCTCAATGAAATCCCACACTCACCTCTCACCTATCTCGGGCCTCGCATCTGCTCTGCTACTAATGATATGCGAAACCCCGTCCATACGCTGCTAGTGGTGAGATACGGGACCTCGCCCACACTCACTTCCCTACCAGGCACATACGAGTATCACACAGATAACAAGTATAAACTAACGTACAAACATTCTCCAGGCACCCGCCCGATATCGGACCTTGGTCCGGAATAACATACTAGCATACAGTGCCTAGGGCTACCCCCTATGTCTTCCTACTCATAAACTACATGGGCCGACATTGTGGCCTTAGACCCATTCACACAATGAGGAGACTCACCTCGCACTGCTGAAAACTCGCTGAACACTTATGACTGCTAGCCGACAACTTCTGAACCATTGACCCTTCGGCTTCCCGAACTATCAATATCCAAAATAATGTTTAGACCACAATATTCCTAAAAGTCAACTCAAGTCAAACTTGGTCAAAGTCAACAGTCAAAGTCAACGCTCCGAGTTGACTTCAACTCGCCGAGTTGGCCTATCAACTCGTCGAGTCCCACGTTCCTTACAAACTCTGGACTTCGCTCCTACTCGTCGAGTGCACCTTCAACACATCGGGACCCTCCTTTATTTGACTCGCCGAGTTCTCCTTTGAACTCGCCGAGTCCACCTTCATAAACTAAGGAGATTGCCTTGGACTCGCCGAGTTCCTCCTCGAACTCATCGAGTACGATGATCTTCATACCCACTATGGACCCGGACTGGCAGAGTCCATAACCACTCAACTCATACCCTTTAACAGAAGGGTTTTGGGGCAAGAAAGCGGTCTGACTCGTCGAGTCCCGCTAGTGACTCGTCGAGTCCCTCTATGTCTTAATCTATTCAGACGATTTCTGAGGGTCTCGAAGCATCTAACACATAGATATGGACCTAACCATCTCCTAACCATGCAAGCTACCGCCTTTTTCCTCCATTCATGGCCTTTTGAGCTAAAAGGCCGAAAGAACAGTTCATATGCTTGCATAGGGATTCCTATGGCATAAAGTTTACACCTTTATGCCATAACAACCCTTAATAGTGCTAGATTTGAAAACACAAGCTCTTGGGACGTCCATTCCTCTCATGTTAGGGTTTTTGGACTAAAAACTCCCAAAATGACAAGAAGAGAGATCTAGATGCATAATGATCAAGGTGGAAACTTTCTTACTAGAAAATAGAGAAGAATGCAAGAGGTTTCTGGATCTACTAGTCTCTTCTTGTATCCCCAAGGCTTCACCTTCTTCTTCAAGCTTCACAACACTCAAGAATGCTCACAAACTCATGGGAGGCACTAGGGTTTCGTTCTGAACTTGAGAGAGTATCAAGGAGGCTGATGAAGGGTTATAATGTTCTTTAAATAGGGTGCAAGGCCTGCGTTTAGGGTTTTCCCCAAACCTGACCAACTCGCCGAGTCAGTCCTCTGACTCGTCGAGTACGTCACTTAACTCGTGACCCTATCCATGCTCCTACTCGTCGAGTCACCCCATCTACTCGACGGGTCACTTCCTTAATTTGGGGTTTTCTTTCCTTTCTAGGCCTCATGAATTCGAGGTGTTACACTTAACATTCTAACTAGGGCTGTCAAATATGTATCACGGAGAACCAATCAACATGTTACCAACCGAACCAAGAAAACTGGTTACCAATATATTTGGTAGCCAACATGTTTGGTTGGTAGTACCATACCAATCCAATAAACTTGGTACGATAATGATATTAAATTTTAAATATCACGGTATTACCGTACCGACCAATTCATATATATATATATATATATATATATATATATATATATATATATATATATATATATATATATATATAATCGAAATCGTATTTTTAAATGTCAAGTGTTTACTGTTTACGATTTTAAAAATATGATATTAGACATTAGACTTAGTTAGTAGTTATTACCACATTAGATTAAAAAACTAAAAAGTTACTTATTAAAATTTCTTAGTAACTAGAATAATTAATTTACTAATTTATATGACTAGACGAGAAAAGTGTCTCATATCGTGATTGGTCTTTATGTATTACAATTGAAAATTAGATCAAAGTTATACTATTACCAATTTGTACCAACCAAACTTATTGGTAGCCAAACAAGTTGGTACCAAGTATAGTTGGTATAGTACTGGTAGCAAAAAATTTATACCAACTATAGTTGGTACGGTACACGGTTTGAGTAAAAATCAATTGGTATCGTAGCATGTACAACCCTAATCCTAACAGGTAAACATCTACTTCTTTCCATTAGAGTACAAAAAATAATAATTAAGTTATATTTTAAAAATAAACGAGAAAATCTCCATTCCACTTATTGTTGCGCCGTACAACACACGCGCAACACTTGGCCATTCGCAACTGTTTATTTTCAGAAGAATTCTGACTTAAAAACTGATGCGCGTGTGCTATGTGGCGCAACACTTGACCCTTTGTTTCAAACCTCATCATACCTTACTTTAACTTATTGCAATAGTCTGCAAATGTTAAAAAAACATAGTTTTTATTACATGTTGCTGTCGTTTAGTCTCTATCTTCTGCTACAGAGGGTTGTAGAGGTGGTATGCAAACTTCAAACATTTTGTTTTGTAAAAACAAATGGCACCTAGTGTAGGGCTTACATGAGACTTCTAGTGGGTTATTTTGCAAATGGCTTTGTTGGGTGGATCAATCGGGGTTTAGTGATGTTAAAGAAACATTTTTAATGGAGTTATTCAACATTTTTGGTTATATGGAGTTACCGAAACCAACATATGAATTAAAGAACCACAAATTCACATCGCAAGACAAACAAATGCAAATATATTGTTATAAATTAAGATTTTGTTATAAGAGCTCTTATGTTATGAAAAGTAGATTTATGAGTATAGAAAGTATGTTAAGTGTGTAAGTTGTAGAAAAGAATTGCCTTTTAGAAATCTATTGAAGTGTGTATATATATATATATATATATATATATATATATATATATATATATATATATATATATATATATATATATATATATATATATATATATATATATATATATATATATATATATATATACACACACACACTAAAGTCCTAATATTTTCATCGATTTGATAAGAAAGTTCTAAGTATTATTTGTTTTGACAGTAAAGTTCTAACTACCAGAAGTTTTTGACACTTGTACCATTTTTTCCAATTAACCGGTAATTAAGACTTTACTGTTAAAAAATAAAGTTTAGGACTTTCTTGTCAAATCTTGAATTATGACTTTACCGTTAAAAAAAAAGTTTAGGAATTTCCTATCAAATTGTTGAATATATTAAGATTTTAGTATATTTTCATAGCCCAAGAACTTTTAATTGTGATTTTCGTAGTAGCATCACTATTTTTCTTACCATCATCATATTTAACCTGATACAATCACGAACAGGGAAACAGATGCAAAAGAGAGAGCGAGAGAGGGTGAGAAGACTTATAAAACTTTCTTCTTAACTCGTCGTCAAATCTTGAACTCAAAAGTAGGGATAGATTGTACAAACATAAACAACATACGCCTAATCAAAAGGGTGTGAATGTGGAGAAGGGTAAGAAGAGTAGTTTCGTTTTTTCCGGTTTCTTAGTTCTCTATTTTTAAGACTGCAAAAAGCCAACACAACCTTGATTCTTTCATTCTTTATGATTATCTCTATTTTTTCAATATCGGTTTTTTGAAATTAAAAAACACTATTTAACAATAAACAAACGTTAAGAATTTCAATAGGATCTAAACAGATTTCAATAACTTTTATGTTTAAAGACTATAATACCATTAAATTTTTAACTAAAAAAAGGATATACACACTAAAATCCTAATATTTTCAACAATTTTAAAAGAAAATCCAAAATAAATTTTTTGACAGTAAAATTCTAATTAGATAAAAATTTCCAGTACAATAAGAAGAAATGAAAATATGATTAGAAATACCAATTATCTTTACTCCTTTCATCCACAGACCATAATACATGCAAATCTTCATAAAAACCATAATTCAAACTAACTACTTGACAATTTATACAAGCTTGAGTTATTCATTTTTTCTTCACGCATGGAATGTATATCTGATTTACTTTGGCGTTTGTTTGGTGCCAACAACCATGAACTATCCATAGCTCAAACAAAGCTTTACCTTTATTTCGACTTTTTGTTGTTTTTTTTTCTTTTAAAAAAAACCTAAACACTTAAATTCAAAGCTCATTCCAAACACACCTTTCATATGATTCCAACTCAGTTCCCCAGATTGCATACAACATGCATTTTGAAAGCATATGTACAAACTCTATAATGTATCTTAAATAATTTAACTGGTTATCAATTTATAAAAATTTATTTTATAAAGTTTCCATAAAAAAGATGTGAAAAATTGCGTACAAAATTCTTAAAACCTTAATTAATAGTGCATAAAGTTTCTAACTTATATAAAAAAACTGCCATAAGTACTACAACCACAAATATTAACGATAAAACCACACAAAACACCACAGAATCCTCAACAAAGTACAACTTATTATGCTAAAGGTACAATCAAACACCCTCCTCAAGAAGCATCTGATTGAAATGCCACACCCCTGCATATTCAATTCAATTAAATTTCATAACATTAATTAAAAGCCATAATTTCACATTCAAATACCAAATTAATACAAAAATAAGTATATATTAATATTACCATGGCCTTTTCCAACTCTTCTCAATTGAGACACATAGTCTGAAATCTTCTTTATTGCTTCAACCTATATATCACAAAACAATTCTAATTAACACAATTTTCAAATATAAATAAATAAACAAATAAATATTTATGAAAATCTTCACCTGTTCAGCTAGAAATTCACTCTCAATGAAATCTGCCAGTTGTGGATCATTGTTTGTATCCGCCACCTTTAATTTCAAAGATAAAAAATAAAAATAAACAAATCAATTAAATTATATTGTTATTATTATTATTATTTTTTGCATTTAACCATAAAGAAAAAACTCTTGAATAACATACCCTATGCAAAGAAAGGAGTTTTTCATTGACTAGTTTCTCCAAGGATAATGCTAGCTCCATTGCTAATCAAGATCAAAAGAATAAAATCAAAATCTGGATTAAATATATGTTTAATAAGTGTTAATTAATTAAGTTAATTACCATATAAAGCATCTCCCTTTTCTTCATGTTCAAACTCTGAAGGGGGCCCAACTATGGTATGCAAGTTTACTCTTCCACCACGCATATTCTACACATGTAAAAAGATTTTAAGAAAAATGTGAAAAAGATGACATGAAAATGTGTGTATGTGGGAGAGTAACCTGATATTTCATTAACTTTTCTGCATGTTCTCTTTCTTCATCACTTGATTCCTTGAAGAATCTAGAGAGAAATGAATCAAAGTTTATAAGAGTGTAAAGATTTGTATGAAAAGATTAATGGGGATTTGAGTTTATGTTTTGTACTTGGCAAAGCCTTTCATGGCTACATTGTCTCGATCAAAGTATGCATACAGAGCGTGGTAGACGTAGGAGACATTGTATTCAACACTGCAGCATTAAGAAGTAAAGAGTTAGATGATTGTGATCTGTATAGATGATTGTTGATTGCTTCTGTAACAACAAGGACTATCAATTATGCAAGTTTTGAGTTTTAAATCTTTTGATTCGTTATAGTGAATCATTTTCTTTTCCATTTGGTTGGATTTTGATGGAAATAACAAGCACTACCTACCATATATGATTTAATGTCATGAAAATTAAATGATTATAAACATTATCCTGCTTCTTTCATCCTTTCATCCATAATATCTGTAGATCCTTATCAGAAACATAACTCAGATCAAGTATTTGACCATTAATACCTTTGTAACATTGATCCTAGTTAATTAATCATCATTTTCATTCAGTTATTCGATTTTTCCTCAAGTATTAAATGTGTATGACTTGTAGTCACCAGTGAAGCATAATATTCAATAACAATCGTCACAAAAGGTATGAAGAATTTCACTTTACGCACAGAATCATAGATATAAGCAGATATGGACCAAACGACACGATTATACAGCCTGACAGCGAAGAACATCGAGAAAAAAGCACAAATTAGCGAATATAATTATAAAACTTACTTGATTTGCTCGTTAATGGCAGCTTCACAATCATCGAAATAGTTTTGACGTGCAAGTGAGGCCTGAGGAGATATCGGGACTAAGAACTCCTCCTTCTTCACTTCTTCAAACGGCTGAAACAGCACCCCACTACTCAACACCGGACTCTTTTCCTCCACCATCGAAGCACAATGAACGGCTCCTCTTCTCACCTTTGACATCAAGCTCAAAACAGAGGATGGCGACGATGAAAAACACGGAATTTTGACAGAACCAATGGTGTTTTTGGGCACCGAATCCAGATCTATATCTGGTTTCTTCAACAGAACCCTAGATGATGATGAAATGGCTGTATTCATCGACATTGTTGACGAATCAAAAGGTGAAAATGTGTGTGTTTTTGATGAGGTGAGAGACTGAAGCTGAAGGTTGAAATTTAAAAGGAGGAGCCAAGGGTTCACGAGAGAACAAATAGGATACGGGTTTTTATGAGCCGTTGAAAGGAGAGACACGTGGACGGTTGAGATTAAAGTGTAGGTACTGGCGTGTGGTGGCCTCACGCCTTATCTGTAATCTGGTGGAAGGTATGGAAAGATCAGCTCCATGTCATATTCGTAAGGAATCAAACCAAAATTTCTATGTTTTCACACCAATAATTTAATTTAATTTATAATATATTAAATCGATTGAAATATATTATTAGATGTAATGTTTATATGAAGATGAATGTTTATTTGTTTGGTTTAACTAGATGTTGAAGATGAAAAAAAGAACAACAAACCTTGAATTCCATTAGCATGGGCTAGAAGAGGTGAATGTGAACACTAAAATGATAAAACTGAGTCATATTAATAATCTTCAGCATGTGCAACGGAAAACCTAAAAAAGCAAGATGGTTCCAAACATATTTTTGGTCCAGGCAAGAGAAAAAGATAAACTCTTAAACTACATAAATATCATCAAATTTTTTTTTTATAATAACTCAATAATCGAAAGAAAAATACTTGTATTGTCTTCTAAATATAACAATTTTCATAAAATATTTGGGTCCTTTTAAAAGATGAGCCCTGAACGATCGTCTCTATCACCCACCCTCTAAAACGGGCATATAAAAAAGAGGCAAAGGAGTGTTTCACTTTAACTATATGTTGAAGTTGAAGGAAGAAGATAAAAATGTAGAAGATAATGGCAAAAAATAGAAGATTTTTTTTTAATAAATGATAATAAAAAAATAGATTAATTAGAATGAAAAAAATAAATAAGTTTAATGATCAATGGTAAAATAAAACATTTGGAAAAGTTTACTGACTAATTATAATAATGTCAATATTATTGGATGTTATAAACCTATTATAGAGTGATCAAAATGAACAAAAATAAATAAATTTAATGAGTTTAAACAAAATATAATAACCAAAATAAAATAATAAAATATCAATAATGATCCAGGACCTAACATAAAAATAAACTAAGATTTAAGGACCATTTGTGCAACAAATTCATAATCTAGCCAAAACCATAACGTTTGACACCCCACATGGAATAAAGTTTTAATTTACTATTTCATATATATATATATATATATATATATATATATATATATATATATATATATATATATATATATATATATATATATATATATATTTTGTCAATTTATGTAATAAAATAGACCTCTTATCAATTATGCATGTATTGATGTATATTCTAGTAACTTTTTGGTGGCAATATGAAATAATACCTAGCTAAATTGGTAAAAAAAATCATTTTTTTTAATACAAATAACTCATTAACCTTAAAAAAATACAATATTTATTCAAAAGAATGTACAAGGAGATAACTGTATATATGTAAAAGATGTTTAGAAAATGTTAAATAGGTCATACAACTTTTTTGGTAGGAAATTATTATTGTACTTGTATATTACACGTCTTTGATGCATTAAATTTGATTTTGAAGTTAAAAGTTATTTTTTAGTTTTCAACAAACACTTCCATTAAATGGGGATAACAACTTTTAATTTTGTAATTTTTTTTAACGAATAATGAATGCACCTATTAAATCACACTTCTAAACCTTCATTGTCCACAACGAAAACAAGATTTGAACCCTCAATCCAATAGAAGATGAACACATTTCCAACTCCATGATAACTTTTGATTTGTGAGAGTTGTTAATTCTAGCTTTTGTTTACATTTAATTATTTTCTTTTTGTACATCATTTATAAATTTGTTTGCTTTTGGTGTTCAAAATATATCATTATGATCAGTTTCAGCTACTTTGACGTTCCTGGCGACTCTTAGGCCAACATGAGTTTTATAACGAGCTTTAGGCGTGCATGCACACACAGACAGAAGAACTTGAAGCATTTCATCATCTCCAATAACTCGAAAACGTGGACAAAATCCACCAAGAAACCCATAAAACCCCGCTTAATTCTTATGTGAGTTTCATCTCCACGAACTCAAAGATTTGCCTCATTCTCAAGAGTTTAAAGCTCGATTTGTGAAGAACAAACACACGTTTTTGAACCAAGAACACGATGTGGAAGTGTGTGTTTGGTTGGAACTCGTCAGAAAACTCATGTTTGCCGGTGAAAATGACCAAGTGTCGGTGAAGTCAAGTGTCGGCGAAGATGCCAATTTGCCAAAAATCGGCTAAATGTATACACCAAAACAAGTTTAATTGTAAACAGTGTATAATAGTTGGTCATAATGATATTTTTTGAACACCGAAAACAAGTTCAATGGTAAATGATGTACAAAAAGGTGACAAAATATAAACAAAAGCGTGGATTATTTACCCTCAAAAGTAAGTGTGAGCAAAAACCAAACCGCAAACCGAAAAACCACAAAAAAACTGAAAAACCAAGACAAAAAAACCTAAACCGAACATTATTGGTTTCTACTTTTATAAAAACCAAAATATTTGGTTCGATCACCGTTTTATAAATTAGAAAACTGCAAAAAAGACCTAACCGCACCAATTGTATATATTCCTAAAAAAAGATATTATATACAAATTTATGTAATTCTATAACAATTAGCATCATGACGAGTTGGGTATATGATGGTGAACATATAAATTTGAAGTCTTTGAATCTCTTTAATTTATTTTACTTATTTTTAGTTGTGTTTATCATCAATTTTGAAAGTTTTACACTACATTACATATGATCCCATCGATCCAGATACATAAAATCATTTAGTTACTTCATCTATAAAATAACAATAACGACCTATAAACCTTAAGATTTGGAGTTATATTCCGTATTAATTTGGGAGACCAAAACTTCTACTTTTAGTATAAATTTTTTAGCTTCGGTTTGGGTTTTAAAAACTGAATTGTATTGGTTAAAACCAAAAACCAGAAACCCGCAACCGATTGATTTGGTGCGGTTTCGGTTTAAAAAGATTCTATTACTTTCAAATTACATATTTTAACAAACAAAAGCCACAAAGATATCCAATTAATTTCATAATAATGATGATGATTTTAGCCTATCATATTATGATTACCATAACCCACATTTAGAGTGTCTACTTGATTTCACATGTCACACCTCTAAAATGACTTTCCTACACAAACACTTTCTTTATAAATTATTCTCCATCCACCATAAAACCAAAAACAACCACAACAAATTCAAAACCATATACACATAAACATCATCCATCCACATTTTCCATAACTCCTCTTACATAGTTTCAAAACCAACCAAAACACACCTCAAAACTTCTCAACCGTAATCCCATCACGATGAACCTCGTAACCGGATCGAGTTCTCGTCTTCTTCAACCCGGCTGTGAAATGGAGCTTGGATCCTTCGGAAGCAATGCAAGTGACTTTGACCCAAATCATGACTTTTGTTTTGAGCCCTTCGATGTCTGTAAACTTTCCTTTCTCAAGGTAACCGGTCACAGTTGTTGAGAACCGCAACACGGATGAGTCGCGGTAGCCGACTTCACAGATGGCGGGGATGAAGACGGTTAGTTTTTTTGTTTGTTCGTCGAACTCGTAGTTTGTGGCGTCGCGTGGGAAGATGCCTACGGGTAGGTCGTGTTCTTTGAGGAGGTCGGTTAGTGGTTTTTGCATTTTTCCTGAAAGTGGTTGTTTGATGTTAGCGAAGGGTAGAATGGTCATTTAGAGTGAGAATGGTGAATGATTGTTTATTGTTTGGAAGGTTGAAACGGTCATTTACTTACAGAAGGGTAAAATGGTTATTCGCTTTCAAAAGGATAAAATGGTCGTTTACTAGATAGTCATTAAATGTAAGGGCAAAATGGTCATCAATTGTCATAAGGGTAAAATGGTCATTTACTTTCAAAAGGGAGAATGGTCCATTTGGTGTTAGAATTGTAAAATGGTTGTATGATGTCCGAATGGTAAAATAGTGATTACCGTCAGAACGGTAAAATGGTCGTCTAATGTTAGAAGGGTAAAATGGTCATTTAATGTTAGAAGGGTAAAATGGTAATCCCTGGTTATAAAAAGGTAAAATGGCCATTTTAGTCATCTAATGTTGGAAGAGTAAAATGGTAATCCTTGGTTATAAAAGGGTAAAATGGCCATTTTAGATTAACTTACCACCAGAAGGGTAAAATAGTCATTTACTGTCAAAATGGTAAAATTGGCCGTTTACTCAATCGGTCAAAAAAAGAAACAATATTTGTCCATAAATCACTTATTTAACTTGATGAAACAAAAAAAAAAAAGCTTAATAGAGAAATTCTTATCTAACATGTTATTAAGAGAGTTAAATATGGTCTATAAGATTCCTTTAAAGGGTATTCTGGACATTCATTTTAAAGGATATTTGTTATGACGAGGGTATTTACGTCTTTTATGTCGGGATACAAACCTTTCATTTTGTTGACGAACCAGGTAGCTCCCCCTGAAATACTGCTTTGCAAGCTCTAAAAACAGAAAGAGAAGCAACAATCAAGTATTTAAATTTACAGCCAAAAAGAAAATACCAATTTCTGATACAATGTAAATAAATGTAAACAATAAAAACAGGTTAAAAAAAGATAATAAACTTGTAGTTAACCATTTTTTTTCTTCTAATTTTGGCGTAATTGTGAAAGGGATATTAACTTATTATTACTTTCACACTTTTTTCAATTACATATCTTTACTCCCACAATCATATCAAAATATAATCTTTTTCTAATTTTAAATAGATTAACTAACATAAATTGATGAAATAATAGTTGATTTGATTAACAATTGGCAATTTTGCTACTTATTGTCCATCTTAGGTTTTGTTTCTTTTTTATTTAATAGACTTAATGGGACAAGAAGGTATATATGACTTAATGTATAAAGATCCACTTAATTGGAAAAATCTTGGGAATTTTAATTTCAGAATCCAATTTTCTCTCAAAAGCCAAAATTGCTATGGAGTTCTTCATAACTTCATCAACGATTGTCATTGCAATAACCTTCAATGTAGTTAGTGATGCTAAACTAAAAACACAATCCTCAAATGCCATAAAGTCTGTACTTTTTCCTAACCCAAACGGAGTATATGCTTTCAATAAATCTAAAGTGAGTAAATTCACAAAAATGCTACTTAAATCATCAGAGATCTATCTTTAAAGCTTGAGAAATCACAACCTATAATTATATTTATACACAATTATGCATCGCAGTCAACATCTAACAGCAAACCCAAGTTCGAAACGAAACTTTAACCTAAAGCCAACAAATTTGACCAATTGACAGATATCTTCAAACATACCTCACATTTTGCACAGATCATATCATGAAATTGAAATTGAACTTTAGGATTAACAATTAAACAAAGAGATGAAGACTTACGTTGATG